GAGGAACCTGAACAGGCTGGAGAGGTGGGCCTGGGCAAACCTCATGAAGCTCAACAAGGCCAAGTGCAAGGTCCTGCATCTGGGTTGGACTAACCCGAAGCACAAATAAAAGATGACTTGCCAGGCTGTTTAGTTGTGAGAGATACAACAAACAACTCTGACATAAGACAGCATGAAAATAAGAAACTCTGAACTCCACAAGCTGGCTGACTTAGGCAAGGGGAAGAAAAGTATCTGCCAAAATACGAGGGAAAAGCACACTGACAAGGACACTTAATTCTGTAATCACAGCTTCACATACGGTTGTAAATGGTTTCTTATTTGTAAAAAGATGCTGGAAAAAGACCAAAACCCACAGTCACCAGATGCTGAAAAGGGGAATTCCATACTAAACAGAAGTCATAAGCCTAATTATATACCTAATTACCTTTTCTATACAGGTTTTTGGTAAGTTGACTTTGATTTATCCTGTTTAGTTTCCAAACAATCTTTAGGCTAATAAAGTTCTTAACAATTATGTGGGGTTTGTGTCTTTTGGGGGTAAACATTAATAGCTCACACCTGTATATGCCAACCAAAGAGGACAAAACTTGGTCATGAAAAGTTGAAGTCACAAACTTGCACAACACAGTGCAACCTGCAGGACCTCATGCAGTGCTACAGTATTTAGGGTTACCACAGTAAACTCTCTGGACGTGCTGGGGCTATTTATCATCACAAGTCGCTCTGTTGCAAAGATTTAGCTTTCACAAATACTCTCATTTAGCATCTGTTTTACGTCTTATTTTACGTGCATTTTACACCAGGCTCCAAACCTCCACTGTTCGGAAAGCTCACGTTGTATTTTCAGTTCTGGATCCATCACACTCACTTTAGGAGCATAAGAACTGTTCCATCATTCAGACATGTCAATCAGCCTTCAGATGTATATGTTTAATATTTATCTAGCACTGCTACTACAGGCAAGAACACCAGAAATACAAATTATTATTATTACTATTATTTTAAACAGCATTATTCTACCCCCAAGCCAAACTCTTCCAATAATCTATGTAACATTACCCAGCCCACCTCTGAACTGATAAATGGGCAATGCCTTTTCTCTCTTAGGGCTTTTTTATTTGCCATTACATGGGCTCTAGGTTTACACAAATTGGCTGAAGGAAAAAAAATAAAAGTATTCTCTTCATTACTACACCACTTACCTTTCACACTTCATCTGTCTAAAAGTTTGAAGCCAACTTTACTTCATTTCCTCACCCTTACTTCTTTCATTCCCCGAATTCTCACAGCGCATTTGAGATTACAAAACATTAGAGAAGATAATCACAGACAAATATAAACAAGTCATTTACCTTGCTTTTCAAATGTATGCAAACATTCCTACTATTAGAGTTGTGTAAAGAGATGAAAGTAACCAAACATGTTTAGGGTAAACATGTTTCTATTGTACCACAGCTTCAGAATTTAGCAGATCTTAAAATATAATTTTATTATGACACACACAATACAGAAACCAAAATGAAAGTGCCTCCGCCTCTCATTTTGCGCTGACAAAGGCCTGAAGCTCAACACTCAGCACTTTAAAGGGCTTTCAAGTCTGCAAGCAGCTCCTCTGTTGTTTAAGAATTTGTTATGGGAAACATAAAAAAAAGGAATTTTCTAGGTAATGAAACAAATGCAAAAGTATGTCTGTGTGTCCCCCCAGAAAGCTCTACTTAACCACATAGTCTCTGCTAGGAGAAAGTACTGATAGGCAGGAATTTTCTTTCCTATTCCAAGAAGTTCATTAAATCCTCTGGCATTTCTAAACTCTAAGCAAAGCACAGCTGTCTGAACTGAAATTTGGTACATTACAAAATCCATGTCTCAGAAGAGACATCCCACTTGCAGAAAGAAAAAGCATAAGACCCTGCAGCCAAACTCTTAGGTAATTTGTTGTCTGACACCAGTTTCCATGCCAGGTGTTTATTTTCAGGGGACTGAGCTCCCAGGAAGTACAATCTGTTTATTACAGAATAAATTGCTGTACATAAGCAGAGGCATTTGCCAACTCCTCCTATCAATCAGCAAACAAGCAGTGGTAATCCAAACCTCCATTTACCAGACCTAAAATAACTTGGAGGCTGATGCTTTCCATAAAGGAGGATCACCCACACAGCCAGCTTGTGTGGAATAGGGATATGCTACAGCTCAGGAAGCTTTTATACTGGTTGTATGCCTGACCCCAAGAGACAGAAATCTTGTTTTTCATCCCTAGACAACACGCTCCAAGCAAATAGAGGAGATAGGAAAATTCTGCCACCCACACTAGTTGAGAATCTCGTAAGTCAGCACTGGTGGTTGCACTGAAAACCTGCTAAGAGCACAGCAGGGATGCTGTGAGCAAGAGCACCTTGGCACTGGCTGAGGGAAAAGAAATCACCAACTCTTACTAAAGGAGTTATGAAATACAGAGCCTGGATCCACCCTAACAACAGACCATCAACTTCAATACAGACTTAGCTGTTCAGAGCATCTTCACCTTTTAATTCTGTAGTATTTGTGTAATATATCAGAGTCAAGTGACAAAGGTCTCTTTTCTTCTCCCCTACTGTTCTTGAACCTCGTTGTGTAAAGATTATCAGTTATTCCATCTACCCAAATTTTCCAAAGAAGGGTACAGCATGAGTAAGAGTACAAGCAAGAGACAAGACAACTCGTAAGATGCCAGGCAAAAAGATTTTGTCTTTTCATGGCAAGTTTTGCTATGAACAACTGTACCCATCAGTTTGGGACTGGAAGGGGGAGGACACAGCTTTGTAAGAAGTCTTTGCCACCTTCGAAAACACAACAGGTAGTGACCAGAGGCATTCACCAAGAAAAGAGCTTTCGACACAGAACCACTGCACTCAATATCTTTACATCACCAGGCAATACATGAAGTGCAAAATTTAAGATTTTTTTTTCAGTTGGACTACTTTCCCAGCTCAATCCCCTTCCATTTTTCTGGAAAATAACAACTGAAGAGCAAGTGAACTAATTTTAGACACTGATTTATTTTTTTCTTTTATTCCATCCCTCATAATCTGTATATTTTGCTCCACTTAAAACATGAGAAAAGCACAGCCTGTATTTGCAACCCAGTAATGTTCCCAACAGGTTTGTGTGATCTACAAGCAATTCACCGTTTCCTACAGTCTTTGCATACACAACATATATCCAAGGGAGCGCAAATGGTGATTCCTGTCAAGTCTGCAAGTTATTTATGATTTAGTTGTGGTTACCCCATCCCTGGCAGTGTTCAAGGCCAGGCTGGACACAGGGGCTTGGAGCAACCTGCACTAGTGGAAGGTGACCCTGCCCGTGGCAGGGGGTGTGGGACTAGATAAGCTTTGAGGTCCCTTCCAACCCAAACCATTCTGTGACTCTGTGTTGTGTATTATAGTGACACCTGTACAACAAATGATCACTTAAGTCCCAAAGCTGCCTCTGTCACACTCTTTAAATTCCAAATGCAACTCCCAGTTTAGGTCAGAAAAGAAATTCCCAAAGGAAGGCCAAGCACAACTGGTATTTTTTTATATTCTTGTTCTCCGAGAAGCTAATCACAGCATGCAAGTGCTGATTTTGGGTACAAAACTGTATTAACTCACATAATCAGAGCTTCCCATTCAAAGAAGTTCTCTTCATTCACAGGACCTATGAAGAAAAAACAAAACAATGCTTAGTGCTACCTGAATGCAAGGCTACGACTTCACTGTGCACAAACCCTGCTCAGCTCCTCACCTGCTACAATCCCCTCGGGTGGGTTCAGGGTCAGCTCTGTAAAAACAAGAACAGAAGGGAAGGTTAACATGATCTGAAAGACCAAGCATTCTGGTTGGCATTTGGGTGGCCAAAGCTTAGCACAGAAGTCCCACCAGCAAACAAACACCCTTGGAGAAAACCCTTGACACCACTAGGCAAAACTCCCCATTAAGAAGGCCCAGAATCTCACTGCTTACAATGTAACTTCTTCATGCATGAGTTTTCTAGGCAAAATTATTTGGCATTTTATGCTTTTTTAAGCTCCTGAAACTCCTGGGACAACAATTTGAGAAGAAAGAAAAAATGTCTTTCCACAAAGCATGGGAAACTCTCCTCTTGGACGTCTGTAGTATCTGCAGGTACAAACTCAACAGCCTGAAGACAAAATGAGTTGTATCCCTGTAACCTCTCTGCACCAATTCAGACTTGACAGCATCTCAACATTAAACCCAAAATTACACAGAAAGTTGGAGAAGCAGAAGCAAGAAAAATTTGTACAAGCGGCTCTGTTCCTTGGATTCAATCTAACTCCCCCTCCATGGCCTGGAATAGGTGAGTCAAAAAGGAAGCAGCAATAAAGCAGCCATGGCTGTACACAGTGAGTGCGAATCCATCAATCCTCATTTTCTGTAGGAAACTGGTACAATTCCCAATTCATACGATAATGGTTAGCATCAGTACCTCGTTTCAAGCCTGCTGAAGCCCAGCCCTCTGTGTGCTGATAAAATAGTAACCGTTTTTTCTACTATCCAATGCAATGACCATCAACTTCTGGATTCTGAGGTCCTGTGGAGTGGTAAGCAGCTGGCGAGGCAAAGTTCAACCATGCACAGGCACCCAGTGGACCTGCAGTCCCTGGTGGGTCTCAACACCAGCCCTACAGCTCCAAGCAAGATGTAGGGCAGCTGGTGGGACCAGTGGCAGGAGGTGACACTCTGAGGATGTCAGACTGGAGGAGGTGACAGTAATAAGGCCAACCGAAGCCAGGGCTGTTGAGCTGCTTATCCAGAAGAGCGTTTCCTACCCGATGGCCTGTGGATGACTCGTGGTCCATAACACACAGAACACAGCCACAGGAAACACCACACATATTCCCATGCATGAAACCAAGCAGGAACATGGAACCAGGGAATATAGGAAGTCCAAAACAGATAAATGAGACACTTGACCTGACTTCCATGAGGCTGTATGTGAAACTGTGGGTAGAGCTGCACAAAACAGCACATGGATTTTTGTCTTAAAACAGCTAAGTTACTGTTGGATTCAAAACCATGCTAAGATACACTGTCAGGAAAGATAGCAAAACTCTCCTGTTCATTGAGAATGCCATTAACTTTGGCACAGATCTCTCCAATTGTAGTTCAAAAGCACAGCAAGCAGATTGAAACTCCATGCTATAGTTTCCCGTGACATCCTGGTGTTAAGGTACAGGCTTTTCCAGCTTGATACTGAGTCTCCAACAGCTTTTCTTGCTGATGTTTTTAGACAGAAAGAGGGAGACGTCAAACCCAGGAGCTCCTGGAATCATTTTGCTCCATCTTGTGGCTCTCTCTAAGAAAGAAATCCCTCTGATTTCCCATGATTTCCCTTTGCGACTGCCCAGTGGCAGCATCTGCATGCTCCCTGCAGCAGGGCAATGGGAGGCAAGAGCCAAACCACACCAAAGAGAAGGGTCATTACAAAGATGGAGGTTCCATTCTCCACTTCACCTTGCTCAGTTCTGCCCTCAGAGATGGGCTAAAGAGGTTTCCATCTTTAAGGATCAAGCAAAGCAGTAACTGGGCAGTGCAGGGGTACATGAGCTTTGATTTTGAGTGGCTGCTACTATACCTGGTCATTGTGGGAGGAAAATACTCCTCTTCCACGTGGATGGTTACATCCTACCCTGTGATTTCTCTAAAGCTGTTCAAAGGGAAATCAGGAGCACAGTTTACGGGGAAAAAGGAATACTCAAGCTACACTAGCTTCTTGAGAGAGACAGCTTGCACAAAGTGAGAGCCACGAGCCACCTCCCTCAATCCCCTTTCTCTGAGGGGCAAGATCAGCAAAAAGCCTTTACAGAAGCCCTTGATGCAGCAGCTTGTTATGGCTGACTGGTGACTGTGGGCCTAGGAAAAAACGTCCAAAGAGTGAAACCTCATGATTCGTGGGACAACCAAGGTGGGAGCTGAGCCATGAGACACAGAGGGACCCTCCTGCCACACTGTCACCACAGCTACATCACCTTCACCTGGAGCTGTGAGACCCCATGCCTGTTGCTGTGGGGAACTCCCTGCCCAGACACACATGCTAGGTGCATGCTGGAGGAGCCCATGGTGGTGCAGCCCACCACCTGATTCAGAGCAGTATCTCTCTTCAGCACTGGAGAGCACTGGGAGAAGTTTCCATCTTCACATCCTACACAAAGCATCCTGTTTGGTTTGCAGGGGAGTTTTGCTGCATGCAGTCAGGGGATTTGCTTCCAAATGGAAACAAAATGAAGTCCTAACTTGTAGCACCTGAGTTAAACCTTACTTTGAAGCTTTGCTTGTAAGCTGAGACTGAATGAAACAGAGCTGACACTACTGAAGTGCAATGCTTCTACTAGGAACATGGGGCAGATTTGGGCACACACAATCAACACCTCCCTTTTAATTTCACTGCTCATTAGAGACTCATTAGAGGCCAATTACACCTAAGACAAAAGGAGGAGAACTAAAAAAAACCCTTCTTGTTAAAGCAGTTAATAAAAAGACCAGTCACATTCTTAGAAGTTCAGCAGTATGCTGCCTAAAATCTGTATCAATTTAGCATATCCCCAAGATGACTAAAAGCACAAGACTTGAGAAATATTAAGGGCACATATTCACTTCAGTGTCTGACAGCATCTGAAACCAGAATCTTGTTCTTTTAAATCTGTCTCAAACTCGGTTTTATTTTCTCTTCTCTGCTGTAGCATCCAACTGGCACAAGGCAGTTTGAGCTCACACAGACACATGGCACCGTGTGTGTCTGAGGTATTTCTTAAGGGTTATGCTCAGGAAATAGCATTTTCAAATCAAGTTTAACAGGGACAGCTACAGAGACCTACTGCAAATGTTCAACCCTCTTTCCCCCTGGAGATAGCAGCTCATCACAACTCACACCACTGCAGCAGTTTTCTTGCAGCCCCACATGAACTCTCTCCAAGCAATAAGGACAGGAAGCACCCACTTCAGTGAAGCACTGCCACATTCTGTTCTCTACAATGAAGGGGTATTTTTTTCTGTGAATTCTGAAATCTCAGAACTAACATAATTCACAGACAAGATCTCTCAGTTCACTGTAAGCACTATCCTGGGAAGCTATGGGGAGAAGATTTGTTTAATGTCTGCCTGCAGCATTATATCAAATTCTTTTTGATGCTGTTTTACATCACTTTTCCCCTAAAGAATTCACTCATATGAGACTTTCTAGTCAGATCTCACAGCTTCTCAACAATAAAGGATCAAAACTTGTTTTTGCGACTAAGGGGATTTATTTAAGAGAACAGATATAAAAGCAGAGCCGAGTATTTTTGCAGCTGCCTTTCAGGTCAGTGCTTCAGGATTACAACAGAAAAATGCAGGTTTTGACAACACACTGTCAGCACAAGCTTCACACACACAACTGCATGGTGGGGGTTGCTTCGTAACCTCAGGAGCTACTGGCAGCACAGGAGCAGAGGGGCCCAGGCCAGCCCCAGCCTGGCAAACACCTGCATGACAGGTCAGGTTAGAGACCTGTGCTCTGCAGAGCAGCTGAGAATAAACACAATACTGGCAGGAAACTTGCCCATAAATACTGTTTTATACAGGCTGGAGTATTCCACTAAATGACGGTAAAATGAGAAACAGCTCCTCATCACTGGGCCACCTCGGGAGCTCTGAAATGACCTTCACCAGAGCAGGAGGCCAGGTCATAGAATCATCATAGGATTGGAGAACAGTTTGTGTTGGACAGAGCCTTAAAGCTCATCCAGTTCCAACCCCCTGCCATGGGCAGGGACACCTTCCACTAGACCAGGTTGAAAAAACTGGCCTTGAACACTGCCAGGGATGGGGCAGCCACAGCTTCTCTGGGCAACCTGTGCCAGCGCCTCAGCACCCTCACAGGGAAGAACGGCTTCCTAATGTCTAATCTAAATCTCCCCTGTGTCAGCTCAAAGCCATTCCCCCTTGTCTTGTTGCTACAGGCCCCTGTAAAAAGCCCCTCTCCTATTTTCTGTAGTCAGTCCTTACAGCTTGGCACCATCCTTCCCCTACCGAACACTAATTTTCTTTCTCCATTCTACTTTCTTGCGTTAAATAAAAACTACCACATCACAGGACAAAAACAACTGGGTGAACAAAAACGGAAAAAGTGTCTCCTGCCAAAAAAGTCACCTCTGGATCACCCCCGCGAGGAGAAACGGGATGTCCCCACCCGCCGCTCACCACCACCACCTGCAAGTCACATCTCACGCAGATTTCTAAACCAACACGTCTGACACTGATCACTAAAGTGACGTTTAAAAGCTGTTACTAACTGCTGCGCTTCCGCTTAGGGCCTGACAAACGCCTCTAATTAAGGCAACAAAGCCCTGCAACAGAGACTTCCGTGGCCGCAGGTTGTTCCTGCTGGAAAATTTCACCGAGAAAAAAATAGGAAGAACGGGCCAGACGGGACAGCAGATGGAACCGCGCACACACCGCGCTCGGTGCCCCAGCTGCGGCAGCTGCC